GCCTTTCAGGGGCATCGCCTAAGACCATCAGAAAACACATTACAATTCATAACAAGTAGCAAAATTACAGTGAAGAAGTAGCAACAAAAATAGTTTTATGGTTTGGGGTCATCACAATCTGAGGAACAGTATCAAAGGGTCACAGCAAAGGAAGAAAAAGGTCGCGGCATTAAGAAGGTTGTAAGCTGTCGGCAAGCACAGAATGGGTGGGGCTCGGTTAAGGTATATGGGTCTACATCAAAAACAGAGCATTCCCGGTCCCTGAATGATTCTCAGAGCTCACAGCCCTGGGTTTTGCCTCCTGACTCAAGAGACTAACTTCCTGTCTCTCTGCAGCCTGGGTTATGGCCCTCTTCCCTCAGCAATGCCTCACTCTGGGGGTACCCTTGTGTGCTGTTCTGAGCTCTGGTCCAAAAGGAAAGAAGAAAACAACTTGACTTCAGCCTAAAGTTACAAAGGTCTCTGCTACAAAAAGCAGAGTTCTACGGGGGAGGGGGGATCCAAATAAACCTCTTCTGGACCTCTCCCTTCTAGTGCTTCTTTTATTTTTATTTTATTTTATTTTGGTTTTTCGAGACTTAATGCTTAACTCTGCCACCATTTTCCAGGTTGTATGAAAGAAGACAAGAGGGTTGTTTGATTTGGACCCTGTCACCAAATCCCTCTACTGGTAAGCTTTAGCCAGACCTTAGACCCAAGGCATAGAGAGGAGACCCTGCGAGGGCAGGCTGCCTTAGCCAGGCTCTCTTCCTTTCCCTGGGACTTCTGGGCTGCCATGAGAGCATAACTTTCACTTTCTCCTATTGTCACCAGAGAGAACTCACAGCAGTTAGGGGCCCTTTCCTAGCACTCAGACCTGAAGGCCTCAGCCAGCATGTGGCCGAATGCTAGCGCAAGTGCATCTCCAGCCAGGGTAGCCACACTCTCCAATCAGGAGACACGGGGACACCTCCCAGCTGGTGGGGAAGCCAAACCCTATGCCTTGGGTCCTGGCCTCTCCTGCACCTGCCTCACCACAGGTAGAGACTGAAGCAACATTGGTGAAGCCCCAATAGAGGCTAGCATTTAGATAAGATGACAGACATGCACACACACAGAGAGAGAGAGAATAGGCCACAGCCGGGCAGCAGTGGCACATAACATTAATCCTAGCAGAGGCAGACAGATCTCTGAGTTTGAGGCCAGCCTGGTCTACAGAGACATAGAGAAACCTTGTCTTGGGAAAGCACGGCAGCGAGGGAGAGAAACTGGGTAACAGAGTTATACTTCACTTTGGAATGTCCAAGCCATTTTTTAGGAAGAATCTTGGGGCCTTAGAACAGGACCAGTTTCATTTAAGAGACAAAAGGTCTAGGCAGGGGGATGATTGCCCCGGACTGACTTGCCTCAGGTGTCTCTCAAGAGATGCCCTGTAGAACCAATACCCCAGAGTGGCCTAAGAGGCAGACCCAGGCCACACAGCTAACTCCTTAGTGTACAGAAGTCCTGAGAGTCCTCAGATACATTAACTGCCTACCCTATGGAGGTCTAGCAATCTCTCATCCACTCCCCAAATTTTATTGCTTCTTCCTTTCCTACTCCAGACACTTCTAAAAGGGAAATGCAGGCCCACAGCTCACTGACAGAAAGCCGCTTTCAGACCCCGCTTCCTCCCAACCCATCTGCCACAGACCGCTGATGCTGAGTTTACCAAGAGCAGTTCTGCTTCCCTGAACCCCAAAAGAACACTCTCTGGAGAACTAGCAAGGACCACGACAGTGTGCTCTCCATTTTTCAGGACGGACTTCAACAAGGGAGGAGCTGGCCTCAGGGACACAGGATGCCCTCTTGGGAAGAACAGGACTCAACACCCTGCTATAAGAAGGAGCGTGGTCTACAGCCTCAATTAGGTTGGCCTTGATGGGGGAGTGACTGGTGAGATGAGGACCTGGAGGACTGGCTGTCTGCCGTTCCATCCTGTGGGTGCCCAGGCTCTCTTCAGAGCTCACTCACACCCAGTGTCTGTCCTGGCTGACACCATGATGGCTGTCAGGGAAGATCAGCAGGGGTCAGAGAGATCCACCGCCTTTGGCAGCACTGCCACATAATGCACAAGCTTATTACCCTCATGCCACCCGAGCATGCAAATGTCAGGGAGGTAGACAAAGGCCAAGCATACAAACATTACAGCACAGCGCAGCACAGCTCCAGCCCTGCCTCCCCACAATAAGATTAAGAAACGGACCACCCTCTCTGCAAGGCCCAGTCCAGCTGCTTGGTAACCCCAAATCCCACAAGACCAGAGTCTAGGAATCCTGAAAATGCCTTCCTGCCAATGAAGGGGTTTACCTTAATCCATAAATTATGACTTCAAGCAGCACACCAGACCAGCTTGGTGTCTGGCAGGCCCCTGGGCCCAGCTGGCCTGCCCCTGCTTCCTGAGCAGGGATCTTAGATTTAGCTCACTTGAAGTAGTGGTTCAAATTATCTCAAGTAGCAGTGCGCTCTTCCCCTAACAAAGCCGAGAATTCTCTTTACTTCACCAGGAGTACTTTGGTGATCTCAGACCGGGGCCAAGGGAACATCCTGACAGACACAGTCCCTGATCGGCCAGCTTCCAGCCAAGGAATTTAAGAGAGCAGTTGAATCTGTCCTGGTCACCCAGCCCTCCTAGATCCCGGATGACAGAAGAAGGATGAAGAGTGTTCCCAACTGTGCAGACAGCGGCCTTTCCCCGCCTCCTGGCAAAGCTAGCTTAACCACATCCCATCTGCCCCACAGGCAGTGGTCCCCTCTGTGGTCATAAAACACATTCTCGAGAAAATGGCCCTCAGAAGCAGAACTGGAAAAGGAGCACTGTTGCTAGGGATGGTTTCGCCAAGGTCCAAAGGAAGCCTAGGAGATGCTCCTTTCATTCCATAAACTGAGAGCATCCGAGGCCTCAGAGGCAGTGGATGGAGGTGACCAGTCTAATGGAAATCGCTACTCTCAAACATCACCAACAACATATCACCCAGAAAAGGGAGGTGGACATTTCCCTATTATACAATCTCAGGCTAACTCAAGATTATTTTTACATGAAATTTGTTTAGCCTATTGAGAGTCAGTCTCTCTCTCTCTCTCTCTCTCTCTCTCTCTCTCTCACACACACACACACACACAGTATCAAAATGTTTGCTTCTATTCAAAGGTAGTAAATACTCTAAATCTTTTTCAAAAAATAGTCAACTCTAATTTTCATTAACTTTTTATAACTTTCTAGTGCCACTGCTAGTGCCGTTCTTATTCTCCATTATGACATCAGAGCCATCACTTTTAAAATCATCATCTAAAACAGAAGAGAGAGGTTTCCCATACAGAATCCAGAAGTCTGGATGGACATCTCTGCCCAGTCACCAAAAGAAGATGAAATCCTATCAAGAGTAGCCACTTGGAGATTAAAAAAGAAGAAAAGAAAAGAAAACGCTGAAATTGTTACATTTTCTGGTTACTGCTATTCACAGCCACACAAAGTTCACATTCTAAAAGAAGAGAAATCTTTGTCTTAAGAATAAATTATACATGGATTATTTTCCCCTTGAAGGGAAATTTTACAGAACATAAAGGACTCAGATGGGGTTCTTAAATAAATTAGCTGGGTCTAAATCTTCGTCTTTATTGTCTATAGGGTGTGTAGTGTAACCACTGAAAAGGAAAATACCTATAAACCGTCCTGGACCTTGACATCCAGAACGAGGGCAGAATTAATGCCTCTCCCACAACCTAAAGGAGAAAAGGCAGCATGAAGTCAATGCTGTTCTGGAAGCACCCAGCAGGAGCAGCCCAGGTGATTTCTCTTTCCCAGTCATTGAAAAGAGGTCCCAACGGATGGACAGGCAGCAAAAACTCAAACCAAATACTTCTGTAGAGCAGAAATTCTGGAGATGAGAGGCTTGCACCCTGCTCATCCCACACAAGTACTGGTCTAGGAGCAAGGATCAGGTCCGGGCTGTGTGTTTGGGTCTGAGAAAAGCATTTGTGTGTGGCTTCACTTCCCATCTCTGTCACACTGCCAAAATATAACAGCAACACGCACAGTGGAAGGCACACTTAAGCCAGCACAGATTCCACAGCAAAGCATAAGCACCCATCGCCTCTTGGAGGGGGCTTTGCCTTCCTGGCCAATGGGCTTCAATCCCCTTGGAGCAGCCCCAGGACACTCAAGCCCTGACAGCCTCCTTCCTGCCTCTTAGGGCATCCTCTTGGCATCCTAGGCTGCCTCTGCTACCCAAGTGCAGCCATTGCCCTAACTTCCTCCTGTACCACCCTCTAGATGCTTCTAAACCCGGCAGATCCTACCCTGTTACTCACCCCTTGCCTCCATTTCACACACAGCCAAGAGAAAAATATTCTACTTCCCAGATCGTTCCTAATTGGAATCGATTATTTTAAGTAAGATCATTCCTAACTGAAATTGATTTTTTTAAAGCTGGTATTGACATTTGTATCACAATATATTCTTTTGGATAAAGCTTCCTTTTCAAAACTGAGATAGCATCACAATCGGGCTTGTGTAGAGGATGGGTGCATTCGCTCCCCCCACCCAATGGTTCCTTACTATTTGTAGATTCCCAGTGCATACTTCCAGAGAATCTGGGTACCACAGCCCTGTAGTGGGAGTGCCAGGAATTCAGCCACCCCGCGGTGCCACACCACCTCCAACTAAAAGGAGCATCCAAAGCTAACACTTTTCTAAACACAGACACCCTTCTCCTTAAAGAGACAGCGGTTTGTACCGATGTTAGCAAATAAACATGGCTGTAACATCCAGGGGCCGCATCTGCACAAGGCTTTCCGTGCCTCCTGTCCACGGTAAATGTGTGCATGAGTGAAGGAGTGTGTAAATATGAGTGTGAACTGTGTGATCTCCTCTGTGCAGGCGGGAGGCCATATTCCACCGTCCCTCCACCCTGGTGACAGGACAGGCTGAGGCTGTTTTTCAGCTGGGGTCCAGGGCGGCAAGGCCCTCCCCAGACCGCATGCTACCTGCAGCCGCAGGCCTCCACCACCATGTCCTCATACTGCTTGTAGACCACGTTATTGGCGGCATCGATGTAGAGGATACTAATGGGGCTGAGGCGTGCGGGCACGCAGCAGGAGGCTGGCGCCGCGTCGGGTGCCATGGAGTTGAGCAAAGTCTGAATGATGGCGTGGTTGGTGGGTTCCAGGTGCGAGCGCAAAGGAAAGTCACAAACGCCCTCGCAGTGATACGCCTCGTAGTCTAAAGGCGCGATGATCCAGTCGTCCCAGCCCAGTTCCTTGAAGTCCACGTGCAGAGGCTTGCGGCTGCACCGGCTCCGGCCCCTGCGCCCATGGCCCTTGCCGCCACCTCCGCCGCTGCCTTGTGCTCCCCGTGTCCCCGCCAGCGCCGTCCGCCTTCGCCTACGTCCGTTTGGGGTTGCTTTCCGAGACCCAGCGCCTGGTCCCGGATCCGGTGGCGGCTCTGCGGCTGCCCGGAGAGCGCGGGCTTGGGCGCGGATCTCCCGGAAGAGACTCTCTTTCCTCTGTGTACGGGAGGAGATCACCAATAGCGCGCGCTCCTCCGCAGCAGTGCCATCGCCGGTACTACCGCCGGACCAGCCAAAGCCCAGTCGTCTTAAGGCCAGCGGGCTGCTCCCGGTGCCAGCCACTGCGCGCAACACCAGGCAGAACTTGGGGGAGGCGCGCGGCTCGCGACGGAGGCTCTGCACCGCGTCCGTCACATCGAACTCTTCCCAGCGAGCAACTTCTAGGGGTTCGGCAGCCCGCGAGTGCAGTAGGTGGGATGTTTGGGTCACGTCGGGGCACGAGGACAGCTGCAACAGTGGAGGGAGGGTCGCTCTGTCCTGGTCTGGCTCCGGAGACCTCCGACGCAACACGCGCAGCTCAGCACTTACTACCTCGTCCGCGTCGGGGAGGCTGGATAAATCGAAGAGAAACCTCTGGCCGGGCTCGGTCGCCAATTCCTCTACGGGAAGGACAAAAACAGAAAGAGCTGGATGAGACTAGAGCCAATACACGCAGCCAAGGGGGGTTGCTTGGTTTGGGTTGGCTGCCCTCGATACAACACAACATAACTCAGGAAGGCCCATCAAAGCAGGACAGTCGTTCCCTAATCTGGGCTCCAGAACCAAGGCTGCCAATCCTTTCTTGTCTCCTACACCTGAAGCTTTAGTTCTTCCGCTGCCACCGCTAACGATCACAGATACACACACCTAATCGCTGAACTATGTCGGCCAAGAAAGAGTGCACCACCTCACAAAGGACAAACCTATGGCCTCTTTAGTTCTGCTGCCTGCAAAAACAGCGCCTTGCGTTAGTTCAGACTTCTTCTGGTCAGGGGCGCATTCCCCCTCCATCCCCCGAGGACTTGCTCTGTATGAAAATTGTTCCTTACTGTCGGGCTGGGAGCCTCTAGAGAGCTGCAAGTTCCTGAACTCTGGCTGTACAGAAACGAAATTTCTCATGTCCTAAAAACATGTTCTCCTTTGGTTCGTTCTCTTCTCTCAACCTAGCCTACTAGACAAATTGGACCCTGAGAACAGTTCAAAAACGAAATAGGGCAGCACCACGACACAGACCCCCTCTCCTCCGAGCCACCTTTTCCCTTCAGCGGAATGGAAATAAAGGCCCAGCAGGTAAGTCACGGGTTCTCCAAAGTCCACCCTGAGCTTTCATTGTTGGTCGCTCTCTTCGATCCCCATTCTTGGGGAGCACCACAAACGGGAGGGGAAAGGCAATGGGATGCAAAGAACCTTCATGGAAACACTAGAGGCAGCGATGGCTGCCACTGTGAGCACTACATAGTCTTTGGCTCTGATGTGATTTATTTCAGGCTTGGGGTTTCATTTCTGGACATGGGCCCTTTTTCTTTTGGGATGGACTCGGGCAAAAAAAAAAAGTTTAAATTCCACTAAAGAGCAGATAAGGCATTGCCTTTGAAGAGGGTCATATGGTTTCGTTTTGCCCCATTGCAGAGACCAGGCAGAAACTCCCCCCACCTTCAGGATTTGTTCACCAACCTTGGACACCAGGCCTTCATGCCTTAAGTCTACAATCTGGGTGTATTGCTCAAGCAACTCTGTTCTAAATGGAAGCTGGTGGTAGCAAGCTAGAGAGAGGTGCTGGGCTGGATTTCGCTGCAGCCTCCACCTCACCCTGCTTCTCCAGGGAGGGAGGGAGGAAAGGTGGCTCACCTCTGGGTCTTGCTGGTCAAGCAAAGCTCCACCAGAAGGACCTTAGGACACAGTACACTAAGCCAGCCCTAAGAAGTCTGATGATTCTGCGACCTTAGGGCCCTTCCCTGCTCTCACCTCCTGCAGTTTGAGAGCACACTACTAAGTCTGAAATTTTTGCTGATTTTATGTGGCGGGATTGGAGCTCCTCTGAATCAGTGCGGTGACAGACCTTCTGAAGATGCCCGCCGGTCCTAAGGGCTATTTGAGCCCAGGATTTCTATGGACCAGAAAGCAAGCTGTCTGTGCACGGCTACTGTGTGTGTTTGTGAGATGGGTGATTACTGCACGGTGGCCTCTGCCTGTTTTCCCACGCTGGTGGCAATGGCCTGCAGACTCTCGGTGGCTGCCGGACTTTACTTTCCTGGCCTATTTGTCTTCCTTTCCCTCCTGATTTCCAAGCTAGATCTTTGGCTGGGTAGAATTAAGGCCAAAATTGCTTGCATTTCCGCCTGAAATTAGTTAAATTTTCCCTATCTGTCTGCTTTAATGACTTCAATGGAGATTAATAAAAGCCAGATGATACACAGCAACTATCCCACAGTCCCACCCACACCCTACCTTGGAGGGTCTAGCACAGGGTAAAATGGGACGCTTGGGTTCCAGGCATCCATGTCCTCCCCACACAACCGAGTCCTGGACTCTGGCCGCTGGGGCCTGGCGGCCACAGATCGCTGACACCCATACTCACTTCCCACATACAACTCAATATCCACCCGATACCTGCTGGAAGGGCCTTCCTGGTACAGACGGGGACCATTTCCTTTCATCTGCGACCTGTTTTTCTACACTGATTTCTCTTTAGCGCCCTTCAATTTGTGTATCCTCCCTGGGGACAAGGAGCATCACTGCTAGTCCCTCTTGGGGGAAGGAACTCCAGGGTCCTCATTCCTGTCCTTTCTTCTACTTTCTTTCTTCTCCAAGGGCTCCAGGCCCGAGGCCATTCTAGACCCTTCCCCAAAGAAGGAGATCTTGAACTCGTTTTGCCTGCTTGAGAGAAGAGCTGCCAGTCTGCGGTCCCTACCCCTCCCTGCTCAGCCCTCGGAAAGCAAGCCGCTACTTAGCGGGTTCGGATGCGCTGACTTAGACGAAGTTTCTAACATCTGAAGATGGGATTCACGGGGCCATGGCTCTGAACCCAATGGAACAGAAGCTTGCCTCTCCCAGGTCGTCTCAGGGCAGGAGCAGATGGGCCGGGGTGGCACAGAAGATACGTAAAGTACCTTGAGTTGCGTGGTCTATGAAGCCGGTGATCGTGTCCGCGCGGCCATGCCCCGAGGCTGCCATGGCTGGAGCCCTCCCAGCCAGGCTCCGGTAAAGCGACATCATGAAATGGTGTGGCACCACCGAGCCGTTCCTCCGAGCCGGGACGAGGGTCCGTCCGCCGCCGCCGCCCCGGGAGCTCCAGGCTGGTCCTGCACCCGCCGCTCGGAGCACCGCTGCAGCCTCCAGCCCGTCGCGGGGACGGCAGGCGCTCAGCAGCCAGAGACACAGCGCGGCGGCGGCGCTCAGGTCCATGGGCTCCGTGGGCCTATCGGCCGCGCGACACGGGCTCCGTGGCTCCGGGAAGTCCCCCGACGCCTTTTGAACATAGTGTTTAATAATGGGGGAAGTGTGCGCAGCAAGCCGCTGCCCCCCCTTCTCTCCCACCCCACCCCCGCCCAGGGCCCCGGAGCAGCGCCCCCTGCTGAACGCTCGACCCGCAGCTCTGAGCCCCCAAACTCAGGCCTGTCGCGCAAAGCAGGGCAGGAGCCTCCTCCCCTGGTTGTAGCGCGGTGTCCCGGTTCTTGCCAAGTGAGGGCCACACGCCCGAGGCTCCCGCCACAGCACAGTGCCCCGCCTCCCCTCCCTAAGGCATCGCAATCCCCCTCCCTGTCCCAAGACCTGAGCGCTCTCCTTGGCTGAAGGATGGGGCGTCGTGTGTACCCGCCCAGCTTTCTCCCCACTCCTCCACGGAGAAACACCGCCCTCCCCGCTATTTTTCCTGTGCTTAGGTTGCCAGGCCGAGGCAAGGCTGGGCCCCTCCCATTCAACTTCCTCGCCTTGCGCCCCCTTGGTGGAAGCTCACTAGGAAGCACCGAGAGCGTCTACTTGGGGATATTTACTGTGAGTCACTGCCCTCTGAGGATCGCAGTGGGAGGTCAGAGCAAGGGAGAGGATCTGTGGCGAAGGACAAGTGACTGGAGCAACAGGGTAGAAAGAGACAGATGGATACGGACCGACTGTCGGAAAAGAAAAGATTTGCTTGGGAATCTTGGGCCAAAGCAGGAGCCAAAGTCTTAAAGGGCTTGATGAATTAGGAAGGCCTCTGGGCATAGAGTAGCTGACTCCCGGACAGAGTAAGGTTTGAGTAAGCCACATGGCTTCTTTGAGAATGAATGTCCTGGTCTCTGAGTCTCTGTGTAGCTAAGACACAGACTGGAACAGAGGTTGCTGGATAACTTTGTCAACTCTCCCCCAGGATATTCTGACTGCTAACAGTGAATCTAGAAGTAGGTTTGCGAGCGCACTGGAAGGCTATGGAAGAGAATGGAAGGCATGGAGGTGGGGCTCACACAACCTACCAGCTGTATGTAAAGCAGGGTATAGTCTCTTCATTTGTACTTCTTGGTCCAGACCCCTTCATCTATCCATCTCTCCACTCCCTCCTTTTGTTTGTTATTGCCAGGCACCCTTCCGTGTGTTAACGAATTCATCAGTACTGCAAACAGACTCATTGAGAGCCAGGGTGGGAAGGAGAAACAATGAACAGTAACACACACGTGACTAATATACGTACTGCCGAAGACACTCTGAGCACCGTGAAGATAGGAAAGGTCACCCTGAGGCAGAACCCCAACAGAGGAAAGCATGGGGGTGTAGGGAGCATAATTGATTCCTTCCCCTTACTTCTGCTTAAGTGATGCTAGGCACTTGTCACCTGTCCATTGCTTATAAGCCCCATGCCATTTCCTCCCAACAGCTGCTCTATCCAGTAACAGGGATCAGCATATCATTTTCTAGACTGGCCAGTCACCCAGACATTAAGGCTTTGCCCAGGGTAAAGTGGGAAGTAGCAGAGTCTGGAGTATCAAACTGTCTTGGCTCAGCTTTGGGCTTCCACTGCCCCAAGGAGGTGAAATTGTGGGGGGCTTTGGTCTGTTAATTTCCTCCATGACCCTCTCTGGCCCTCTGGAAGCTTCTCAGCAGAAAAGGGACTCTAAGGTCCGATGAGGATTATGAGAGAATTACCCCAGTGGACTCCTCTCTGCCATGAGCTGGGAACTCACTGCACTGAGACACACACACACACACACACACACACACACCGAATAGGGCCAACAGCAGGGCTCACCTATCCTCCCTCTGACTCCCTTGCCTGGGGCTTCCAAAGGCCCATGAATGAATTCCTATCTGAAGGGAAAATGCAGAAGACAGAGAAAAAGGTCACAAGATTCCCCCGCCACTCACCCTTCTCTGCCTACAGCTCACTCAAGTCCTTCTATCTAGTAGATGGTCCCTCTTGGACCCTCAATCCCAAAGCTAGCCCAGGCATGCTTGGGGTTCACCTTGTGTGCAGGAAGCCCTTGGCAACTGTCTGGGCAGTAGTGAGCCAGAGATCCGAGCCAGAAGATGTTGGAGCTGTGTTCTGCTGCTGGCTATACACATTAGAAGGAAATGCTTCCCCTGGGTTTTGTCGCAAGACTCACTGGGAAGTGGCTGCAGCAACCCAGTGGCAGATGGCGAAGTTCAGGGCTGGTGGGGAGCAAGCCAGACAGGAAGTCATCACTCTGTTCTCTGTCGCTGTGGTGATCTGCCCCCTGCACAGTCAGGAAAGGTAGGGGTTTGCATTCTCACCCCCAGGTCCTCTCCCTAGGGATGGGTTGCCTGTCTATCGCCCCTGCAGAAACTATAGGCTCACTCTGAGGCCCTGCTTCCGCCACAGATCTTCTCAGTTATTTAGACCAACTTTCCCTACCAGGCTTCAGTCATAACAAATGGCTGCCCAGGCTGTATTTGCATAACCCAGGCAGCCTCCTCGGAGCTGAATGGAAAGCAGTTCCATAGGCTGCACCTGGAGAGCCATGGCTTTCAAATTCACCTTGCCTAGAGCGAGTTTGCTATGACCTGAGATCATGGTCTTTGAAATCCGGTCTGAGAACATATCACAAGAGTTGTGGTGACTTCTGGGTACTGGAACTTAAAGAAACCCCAGCAACTGGCAATAGCATGGCCTTGATGATCCTCCTGCCACACCCAGACATCTAGACCTCCTGTGTGCTGACAAGGGAAGTGGAGGTCCCTTAGAAGTGATGAGCTGCGCAGCCCACATTGTCTAGAGAGGAAGCCAAGCCTGCAGCAAAGAGAAGCGGCTCACAGCCTGTCCTTTGGCATCACAACCGTTCAGACCCATGAGCCCTTTCAGAGTCTGGCTGACCTGACCCTTTGCTCTCCACTGCAGCTCAGAGACTCCTGGTTCTGCTCTGCTCAGGGCCCCAGTGGATGACTTGAGAAGTGAGATGGAGGCCTCTGTCTTGGCCACTGTCACTCTGGCTCCCTGCAGCCACACAAAATGAAAACACTCAATGTGTCCTCCAGAAAACCAGGAGACCTGAACTGAAGCCATCCCTTGAACACCTGGTTGCAAGTCCCTCACCCTTCCTGGCTTTGTCCCCTGCCAGCTTTAGTGAGACTGACAATCACATTTCAACGGAGGGACAGTGAAAAGTGGAGGAACCATGACAGCAGGATCAGGAGTGTGTCCTCTGTGTGAATGCACCATGACCTCTGACCTCCAATCCAGAGCAGAGAGAGGGTAAAGGGAGAGTGGGTCCTGGCTTAGGTCTCCCTGAAGGGGGGATGGAGAGAGAGAGGTGACAGCAACCACCCACCCCCACCCCCACAGAGTTGCCTCTTCCTTCTCTTCTGATAACTCTGGCTCCTCTACCAGCCCCTAGGAAGGCTTAAGTCTCTCCCAGAAAGACCTGGGGCAGCAGAAGTAAAGATTCCAGCAGCTTCTGGCAGCAGTACTCCTGTATGCCCAGGCCTAGTCTTCCTCAAATTGCAGGAATTTCCTATGCTTAACCTATAACTAGGCTGCCCAGGTTGCCCCAAGCAACAGCTCTGGCATTCACACTGGGGTCCTCAAATCCCAGGTCTAGGACCTCTGGGCGTGGCCACTCTGTGGCCCAGAGCACCCTGTGGAGGAGGGGAGGAGAGGTAATAGGAGAAGGTAGCTTCTTTCCCAGAGCCCTTCCTAGAGGTGCTTTTCAGTGCCTCCTTGGTGGGACAAACCGCAGAGGACTGGTGGATAGTGCCATCTGCTGGCAAGAGTATGTAACAGCGCCTGGCTGATTAAGCCTGGCCTCTGAACTACCCTTTTGGGAGGTGTCCTGGGAGAAGAGATGACCACACTCAGTGAGACCAAGAGAAACACACTGAGGTGTGGGGGAGGACCTGGCCTTCAAACCACCATTACTGTGGACTTCCTCTGTGACCCTGATAGAGATGACCTCTATCCATAATCCTAGCATTCAGGAGGCAAAGTGATTATGACTTTTGAGCCAGCCTGGGCTGCATAATGAGACACTACCTTTCCAAACAGGCCAAGTCTAATATCCTCGGCCTCTTTGAAAGGGTATAGGGTGTGATCTTGCTGAAGAAGGTGTGTCACGGGGGGTTGGGCTTCCATGCCAGGCCCAATCTCTCCCTCTGCCTGCTGTCTGCAGATCAGGAAGGAAAGCTCTCAGCCACTGTTCCAGCACCATGCCTGTCTGCTTCCCGCCATGATGGCAATGAACTAATCCTCTGAAACTGGAGGCAATGCTTTCTTTTATGAGTTAGCTTCATCATTGTGTCTCTTCACAGCAACAGAACAGTAACTAAGACAGCATCTTCTTGTGAGATATTTGATTGCACCTGTCACTGTGATTGGTTTAATAAAAAGCTGAAGGCCAATAGTGAGGCAGGAGATATAGCAGGGACTTCTGGACAGAGAGAACTCTGAGAAAAGTGCACATGGAGTGGTCCCCACACAGGAGGGAGGAGTCTTGTGTAACACGGTCCTTGTTACCATTGCCTCCGCCATGGAACTGAGCAGGAAGCACACAGTATCAGATTTAGATCCCACACTCCAGGCATTGTACACAGTTATGCACTGGAGCCTGTGAGACCCACAGAAGGCGAAATGGAATTGCTATCAAGGAAGTAGGTAACCTCACAGGAATCCTGTGGTACCTGTGGCAAGCACCAGGCAGGCTGAGATTCCTGTAGTGCACGGGAAAGCCCAGCTCACTGGCTCACTCCGTATTGGTGGTAGGCATGCTAGCAGCCTGGAGTGTCGTGGAAAGTCCCCACTATGGTTTCTCAAGGCAGCTCTTCGGAGCTCTCGTGGGAGAGGGTGTCACCCAGATCCTTTGCTTTAATAGTCTTCCTTCTACCTAACAGCCCACATTGGAATCTTAAGACCCCAGGTCCTGACAATAAATTCAATGATCTCCACATCCCAGGTCCTGCAGTCTCTCTTGTCCAAAACAGAC